CACTCAGTCAATAAAATATAAAATATCCTCATTAATGTTCAATAATGTCCAAACACACCATTATTTTGAGATTTACGAATAATGTCTCTTGACTTGGGTCGCAAAAGATTGTGACTTTTATAAAATAGGTCCCCAGAAGAAAACTTTGGGAAACATTGTTATAGGGAGCGTGACCTTTTAATTGTAAGTTTCCCTTTTTTTTTATATACTTTAATAATTGGGCTTTTTTGTGTTTTTACTTTTATCTAATGCTAATACTCTAGTGCAGTGTTTTTAGGTGAGCTCTCTACATTATTAGGACTCTTCTTCACTTCTGGAGTAAACTGGAGAGCCACAAAACTCACAAAGAACAGATCGACACCACGCAGGAATAGAACCATCACACAGAGGTAAATGTACAACACCAAATGTTTTATTTAAACACTGAAACAACATATTTTAGATTCGCTGATTGTGACTTGCAAGAACAAAAGTGAAAATGTTTAGGACTAAAACAGTATGAGCTCTAAATCTTTAAATGAGCTTTGAATTCAGAATATTAAAGGTGCACTGTGTAACTTTTCTGGTGAAAGGGCGGCCACGATGCCACATGGAGACAAACCGGTAACACCACAGTGCCAAGTTGTTAAGTTAATGCCATAACGTGGGACATTTTAAGCAAGGCAATTCAATTAACTTTCCATGTCGACAAGCAAGTGGAATTTAGATTGAGTAAATGTTTACAGCTTTATTACCATGATTTGTTTAATTACAATTTTTAATCAATTTTAACTATTTGTTTGCAGCATGTTCTAAATGCTTATAACAATTCAGCATGAGAGGAGATTTCTATATGAGATTATTCTGTGTAAAAACAAAAAACATGTGTAACATAATTTGAAAAATGAAATAAAAAATGTTTTTGAAATTTGTTACATTGAATAAAAACACACATGAACCTTACATCTTATTATACAGGCATCATTTCTCATATACATTTATTGTAGTTGTTACACATTTTGAACTGGCACACAAAGCTAGAATAAAGCATAAACCTGCTGCAAATTGTTCAAGTTTTAAAGAATACAAATTTTTAAATAAATCCGATTCATTATTCTGATTGTACCGTACGTCTTTGTGGCAAGATATAACTTAGTACTTAATTATATAATCATCCAGTGTTGGCTGCTACCTTTTCCAGGTCTCTCTTGAAAATCTCAATGAAAATAAATACATAGATAAATAAAGTAAATAAATAAGATATAATAGTGGACTAGAGAGAGGGAACGTCCATTTCCGGCAGCCATGTTTTCAATGGAAAATTCTGTTCAAGAACTCATACAATCTAAGGGAGTGTGACCTTTTAATTATAAGTTTCCCTTTACTTTAATATACTTTAATAATTGGGCTTTTTTGTGTTTTTACTTTTGTCTAATGCCCTTGTTCTAATCACTTAATTGTGCAAAACTTATAGACTAGTGCAGTGTTTCTTGGGTGACACCAGTAGCTCTCTACATTATTAGGACCAAAAATACACCATTATATACCAATTTAAACTCTTTGGTCTATGTATTTTTCTCTTTTTATTTTATAATTGTGAATCAGAATTTTGCGTTTCCGCCTCTCACAATATGGCTGCCACATTTGCCACGACAACAGAACCCACTCTCTTATAGTAAGTCAGTAGTTATAACATGTAAAAATGCAACAAAATTAAACATAAAATAAGCTGCCATTTTTATATTTCATCTTCATTTTAGTCTTCACATTCACGCAACATTAGGGAACTAATTACTAAGTGCTGTTATTATTTTTGTGCAGGTTAAAATTGTCTGTACCATAACCATAATCTAACCATTAAGATGCGCTGTGTAACTTTGTGGTAGAAAATTTGTTAAATGTTTTCGCCATGGAGATGTTTCTTTCTATGGAATGTTAACAGTGTGGTATTAAGCCTTTCTATCTTCATGGAGACCAAACCGGACTAAGTTACAGGTTAGATCTGTGGAGAGGCAACTACACCTACAGTCACAATGTCTGTTTTTCTAGGTATTTTTGAGCTATAAAACTACCTGTAATTGAATAAATGTAAAGTAAAGCTATTTAATGTCGTACTGTGGAACATTCCAGGCAGAGCAATGACATATCCATAGCAACAAGCAGATGATGAATCCACAACCAAAAGGTTACATAGTGCACATTTAACTTTTAGCATTTTTTATTTTGAATACTAGTGCTGTGGTACTTGCGCCCGGTCTTGGTCTCGAGACCTTCCTCAAGATCGCATTTTTACAGTGTTGGTCTCGTCTCAGACTTGAGTGCATTTGGACTCGGTCTTGTCTCAGTCTTGACTCAAGACACTTGACAAGTGCTATTATATTTCATTACAGCCGTTAAATGTGCAGAGGCTGCTAAATATCACTGCAAAACCAGTAAGATAATGTAAGTGTAAATGTTATGAACTTGAAAAAACCCACTTGATCAACTTCGAAGTTGTTTTCTGTAAAGTGCCAGTGGAAGTGGAATTAAAGAAGGGGTTCTCAAACTGTGGGTGAGGGTCCAAAAAAGGGACGCAGAGTGTTTTAGTGCAGTACAGTATGCTTGACCTATTTTAAACTTAAATTAACATTAATCCGATAGAAGGGAGATATATTTATAAAAACACGGATATAAATGTGCCAAAATAATTATAAAATACAAAGAAATATAGGAAATGTCAGAGATGATCTTGTTTTGGTCTCCTTGGCTGTGGTCTCGGCCTCATCTCGGTCTCGTTTCTGTCTCAACCTTTAAAAGTCTTGGTCTTGTCTCGGTCTTGACTCTCAGAGGTCTTGGTCTTGTTTTGGTCTCGTTTCTGTCTCAACCTTTAAAAGTTTTGGTCTTGTCTCGGTCTCAGCCTTAAAAGTCTTGGTCTTGTCTCGGTCTCGACCCTCAGAGGTCTTGGTCTTGTCCTTGTGGCCTTGGACTGGTCTTGGTCTCGATTAGTGCGGTCTTGACTACAACACTACTGAATACATTAACATTCCAAAGCTGGGCGCAAACTTCATATAAAACTGAATGAGGCGTGGTTCACTTACTGGTCTATAGCTTTGACACCTCCCTGATTGTTTCAACCAAATAAGATTAAAATTTGTTCCTGTAATAATTTAACAGGAAATCCCCACACTTCATTAGCTCCGTGTTATGATGTCAGTAATGGCTTTCAGCTGCTGTGGGAAGTAATTTTCTGATTTCTAATGTTGTTTCTTCATCCAAAGCAGACCTGGAGTTGTGTTTTGTTTCAATCACACGTTTAACACAAAACCCTGCAGATTTAGGCTGAGTTGAGAAAACACACCTTCACTAGAATCATTGGGGTAATTTCAGCCATGGAGTTGCCAGTCTCTTCTGAACTAAAAGTGAAATGTAGAACAAGGTGGAACAGAGCATTTTGAACTTTGGAGATGTAGACAGACTAATAATAAAGGATTACTCGAACATGTGTGAATGAAACAAAACACAACTCCAGGGGAAGTTTATAGCGTGACTTAAAGCTCACAAGCGACCAATTTGTTTATATAGGGCCTTTAATTTTAACAAAAAAATGTAGGCTAGGATGAGAAAAATATTTTTTTATGTGTGCTCCAAAGTGTATAAATACCTAGCAGATATACTTACAGTAATTCTGACACCTGTGGGTAAAACTATTGGGTGTTACCATACAAAAAATTGTAAGGGGTTAAAATGAAAAGAGTAATGTACACAGTTCTGAGTAGACTGGGAATGACTGTTGGTTCCATTTTTGGTTTTAATGTTAAGCTGGGAGCCAGTCCACTCCCCAGGATGTTTTTTGCTACCATTTTTCAGTAATATTTCCTGTTATGTTATATCTTGGGCCATTACAAGTTGATAGGGACCACCCCCAACTCTGCCCTGTTTGGTCTCAGAGCCCAAAAAAACACCCTTTTTAGGAAAAGCTTTTGGCGAAATTATGTAACTGTAAATATTAAGGTACTGCAACTGGATAAATAGTCAAATAACTGGTCAAATAATCCAAACATTTTGCATGGTGTATCCTGACACATAGGGGAAACTAGCAGAAATTTTTGCTGCCTTTCTACTGTCAAATGTCACCCTCAACATATCCCGAAAGACAAAAAAAATGTCTGTCTGCCTGACAAATAGTCATCAAAAGTGATCATTTTCAAGCATTTTATCACATATATCACTGTAAAACTCTTATGATATGATACTTTGCAGCTGACGACATCAACATTCCTTGGGGGTTGATGCTAACTGGGGGCACTGCTCTGTCTGTTTTAATGCAATCTGACCATAAAGAATTGACTTAGTTGGAACCACAGTGGGAGAGATGATTTGTGTCCTCAAACTTATTTTAGATTAAAAAAAGGTTCAAAACAGTGACTGGTTTAAGAAATTCTTTTGGTATTGGTATTTGGTTCATGATCCTGGACAGCTGTGAAGTAAAAGCCATTTCAGTAGACTTCAATTGTGCGAAGGCAGCAAATCAATAAAGCATAAGGGTAAAAAAAAAAAGCTGTTTTTTTTTATATTGATGTCACTGAAGTCCCTTAAATTTCCAGTGGTACAGAAGTAATGGTGCGATCGACTGACATGATACAGAGAGAACAGAGGCTCTTTCTGCAGGAGACATGCTCAGTAGAGTGAAGTATCAGTGGTGTGATAGGAGCAGCAGATACTGGCACACAAGCATAGAGCGCCCTCCTGAGGCTGTCAGTGTGAACATTTTAATATATAAGTCACACCGGAGTATAAGTTGCAGGAAACACCCAAACCATGAAAAAAAAAGTGCGACATATAGTCCAAAAAATATGGTACTTTTGTTTTTTTTTGTCCAAACTTTTGACTGTTAGTGCACACGCAGAACCCCCTCAGCGTGCTGTCACTGCAAAATATCCAATGAAGAAAAACAAAACTAAACCAAACAAATGGTTGAACTCCCTCCACCATTTTCTACTAGTTCAATACTCCATGAAGCGTCCTCCCGGCTTTAACACATTTCAGTTTTCGGAGCTGACGAAAAATACGCGAGCGGAGTAGATCAGATCGGCCACGTACAGAACAAAGTTTAAGACCGTGAGTACAGCCACCGCCATCCTCTTATCCCAACTACACACACCGGGCCCGTAACGGCAACTGCTCGGCCGCTCTCTCTCTCCGCCATTTCTGGGGTCAAAGTTGTAAATTATCCACAGAATCACCACAGAGAGGTACAAGAGAACAGACAGAATAGTGTACCCCCATAAAAAGCGTGAGAACGAGAACGGGAGACGCCCTGTGCACTCGCAAACACACACGATGATGATACCAGTAGACACGATGAAGCAAAAACAATATACCGCCATGCAATAGGAAAGAGCTTCAAACCGGTCGTACAAAATCGGGTCACTGATGAAAAAGAAAATTATGGCAGCACTGAAGGTTTGGCAAATCTTCAGAAGACCGGGAGCTGTAGCCATGTAGCCAGTGACTATGCCCGGACGTGCTTTGCTGATACGGACTTCCACCATGTACGCGATTGTTGCGAAACACGAGAAAATAGTTGAGATGATTCTGCAGCCGTTGGTCTCACTTAATGCGAATATGGTGGTGCCCTTGAGGTAGTCCATGGGGAAGATAATGGAGGCGGAGAGGCAGAGGAGAGCGGCATAGCAAGCGAAAGTGATCGGGAAGTTCTTCCAAGAAATGAGAACGTGAGATTGGACGCCGAAAAGTTCCACCAGGAGGATGAGGAGGGTCCCGGCGAAGCTAAAGGCCCAGCAGAAGATGCACCAGTCCCCTGTGCCGTAGTAGAGCCAGCCCCCGTGAACCGCGACGGAGAAAGTGATGCAGGTGAAGACGAGAGCGGCCACACGGGTCCAGAGCAGAGGAGAGGACTGAAAGGAGATCGCCATGGTGATGTTCAGAAGGTCCAAATGTTTGAAGAAAGATCTGGAAATAGAAAGTAGATATAAGATGGGTTAAAGAAGACCTATTGTGTTTGTATCTATTACATAGTAACAGTATAATCTCTTTGCACATTTTTGCAAATTTGATCTACGACTTATGCATTATATAACATTTTGATTGGGGGTCCATAACCTGCTTGTTTCTATGGATATGTCATTGCTCTGCCTGGAATGTTCTAGCCAGATTCATCAGCCGGTTTCACTTCATAAAAAACATCTGACTTTACAGCATTAGGATTCTTTCGCTTGACAGTAGGGGGTACTTTTTTTCATTTAACCAATTGCTACTAATTGGTTGTGATGTATATAATGCGCCTCTAATGGGGCGAACTGGTATATTAAGCTTTTCCCAAATCACGCTGGAAGAAGGGCAATAATGTCTTTCCCTTGGATAAAATTCACCAAACATTCTCTTTGTTCCCGCTTTAAATCCTCGATCTCGGGAATTGTTGCCAACACAGAATATATGGCTCTTCGCTGATTGGCTGGTGCCCGAACTTGCACTTCCAGGGTTTTTCCGAACAGTCTAGTGTATTCTGATTCCTAACCTAATCGCTGGAGAGAAATTAAATTGAGTAGATGCACTAGGTGGCATCAGCCTGGCTAGGAATGTTCCACAGTATGACATTAAACGGCTCTACCTTATTTATTCAATTACAGGTGGTTTTATTGCTCAGAATTACCTAGAAAAACAGACAATTGATTGTGAGCAGGGTTCCCTATGCACAGATCTGACTTGTAACTTGGCCTGGTTTGGTCTCTATGATTTATTTATTTATTTATTTGAGACAGGGACAGCGCACAATTTTTGCATTTTACCTTAACAGGAGAGATGCATTGTACATCAGGTTGTAGCATCAGTGCTAATTTCCACCTGTAGTCCCTGGACAGGTTCATTAATTGGTTGTATTTAACTGACCTTGACTATCAACTGTTCTGGAGACCTGTGTAGCATACTTTGGGTTGATGATAGAAAGGTTTACCGCCATACTGTGAAACATTTCCATAGAGAAAATTATTTGATGGACCTTGATAAAAGAAATAAGTCTGATTTTGTAAATAAGTGATTAAGAAGTACTCAAAAGCACAGATCACTAACTTCAGGTGTGTAAATGTTGAGAGGAAATAATTATAAGATGGTTAAAAGATCTAAAAATGTGAATTGTAATAATAGGTCTGCTTTAATTTTATTGTCTGATATATTTTGTTGTCATAGTTTTTGTCAGTCCGTGAGTCTCAGAATAAAAAAAAGATCCTTAACATGCGCAGTGGTTCTCAAAGAGGGGGTCCTTGAGCCACGTGTTGGTGGTCTCTCAAACCTGTGATTACTTGGATCATTGCTTACTACAATATCTTATGATATACTTTACAATTACAAACATTGTGAAATTATCATTGTATATTTGGTTCTAAACATCATGGAGACCTATAGGGGGTTCTTGGCCTCAGTAAGTTTGAGAACCCCTGGTAATGCAGATAACACCAGAGCCTTTTGAACTTAATTAGCGAGAAACAACATTATATGAGTGTCAGTGGTGAATGAAATGTAAGGTAATGGCATTATCTTCCGTTAAAGCTCAAAACACATTTAAAATGTGAATGAACTTCTACAGCAGGGGTGTTAAACTCAAATTCACAGACGGCCAAAATTAAAAACTGGGACTAAGTCGTGGCCCCAACTAAATATTTATTGAAAAATTTCAACAACATGGGCATGTTTTCTCTTCTTTTGAGATATGTAATGTTAAACCTTTTCTTATTAAAATACATGTTTAATAATAGTTTTGCTTAAATATTGAATTCAGAACAAGCATAATATAAATAATATCAACATTTTAAAGAAATAATGTTTCTATAGTCTATCTGTAGCCGACAGGCAGCTCTAATTCATATTTGATATGATCTCGCAGGCCAAATATGAATATGAAAATGAGTTTGACATGTCTGTTCTACAGCTTAGTAACAAATTTCAAAATCTACAACTCTGCTATATACAGTATTTAGATTGTATCTGACATTTAAAACAAGTCCACAGTAGAAAACCAGTAAAGAGCTTAATGACAGGGACACTGCAGGCTACACTATTTATCATTGATAGAGACTCTGGGATCAGACACAGTGAACTTAACTTTTCACTTTTTAAATAAGATGTTTCTGAGTCTGTGTTTTGTGGACAGCTCCACTCAGCTCGTCTGTGACAGAAGAAGACCAGAGAGCACAGGTGAGGCTCTTCCCCAAATGACCACAACGCTCCAAGCTCCTTAAATCAAACCCAATGCACTTTGCGGTCTTCCATAACAAGGGCAGTCCGGATATTCTACGGAGTTAGAAGGAATTTAGAAAAGGAGCCTGCTTCCTTTCATAGCTCTTTTAGTATAGGAACCTCTGCATGACTCTTCCTCTCTTTTAACTAAAACACCACTATCTCCCTCTCTCTTTCTAGCGTAAACTGGAGAACCCATTGGGATTAGGGCTGACTATTATTAAGAAGTTGCCGAAATGATACATACCTCGATACAGTGCATTTTTGATAAATAAAGGCTAAATCATGGCTGTGATACTAAAAGTTTTTGTTCAACCACTTTTTGTGCAAAGTGAATATAAAACACAAACATTTTAATCATCAAAACAGTGAAAATGTCAAATGTGTTGCATAAATGGCTTTCCTTCCTCTGAACAAACAACAAAACTGTAGGACTGTAAGAAAATAATTAAGCAAAATATTCCAATACTCTTGGCGATACAGCAGCTGAAAATATCAATACTGTATCATCACATTAAACAATACGATATATTATATATATTATTTGGGAAATAAACTGAAAGCTGCCAACTCCAAAATGAAAAAGAAAAATGACACAGAGGTAAATGTACAATACCATATGTTTTATTTGAACACTGATAACTATATATTTTGGATACACTCATGGTGGCGTGCAAGAACAAAAGTGGAAATGTTTAACAGTGTAGTTCAGCATGAGCTGTGCACTGCAAAAAAGCCATATCTATGAATGAGTTTTGAATTTAAAGGTACATTGTGTAACTTTTCGAGGAAAAGGTCCATCACCTGCCCGTTTCCATGGAGATGTTATTTCTTTGCCTAAAATGTTCCACAGTATGGCATAGATCTCATCTATGTATGTGACAGACAAGTGCCGCCACAAGTTCGGTCCATCCAAGCAGAGATTTCCCTCTTCCTGGACACTTCCTCCAGTTCCTCCGGTGCGGCTCCAAGATGTTCCAAGGCCACAATAGTTCCTCCATCGTGTCTTGGGTCTACCCCAGGGTCTCCTCCTGGTAGGACATGAACACCTTCCCAGGAAGGCGTCATGGAGCAGTGTCTCTACTCTGAGCTCCTCCTGTGTGACTGAGCTCCTCACTCTAAGGGAGCGCCCAGATACTCTGCAGAGGAAATTCACTTCAACACTTTTATCTGTGATCTTGCTCACCATCAAGATAGGTAAGTTAATGTGATACTGTGGGATATTTTAGGAAATGCAATAACATCTCCATGGAGACAATCATCTGACCGAAAATCCACATGAAAAGTTACATAGTGCAGCAAATGAGCAATTTTTAGAGCTTTATTATTATGAATTGTTTAAAGATAATTTCAACTTTTTACTCATTTTAACTATAGATTCTTTGCAGTGTGTTCTAAAAGCTTACAACAATTAGTTTATTATATCAAGTTATTCCGCCTGAACCAAAACAAAAAATGTACATCAGAATCTGAAAAACGAAATCAAACCTTGAATTGAAAAATAATGATAGAACTGGTTACACTGAATAAAATACACACATGTATCTTGCATGTAATTTCACTCTAGGCCATCATTTCTCATATACATTTATTGTAGCAGTTATACATTTTGAATCAGCGCACAAAGCCAGCAAAAGCATTTGGTACAATTCTTCAAGTTTTAGAATAAATCGAATGCACCAATCTACCATACATCTTTGTAGCATAAAAACAATTGGTAACATGTAAAAAAAAAATGCAACAAAATTAAACAAAAATAAGCCGCCATTTTATTATTTCTTCTTCGCTTTAGACAGTCTTCACATGCACGCAGTACTTGGAGCTAACTAAGTGCTATATTTCTTTTTGTACATGTTCATATTGCCTTTACAACTATAAGCCTTTTAAACTTCCAAAGCTGGGTGCATACTTCATTTAGGTTGAGTTCACGTTCTAAAATGTATATCCAGAGATCCACTAATGCCATTTTCTGAAGCTATTGTGAAAAAAATCATTTGACTTTTGTTTATTTATGCTGATGGAGATGTTGAACTTTGTGCCAGTTTTTGTTTCATATGAATAGGCCCAGTAATTACAGAGACATGAGCCATAAACCAGGTCAACAAATCTGCAAACTGACAATTAAGGAGCCTATGACTTTTTGAATTACTCATTTGACTAAAACAGTAATTATATTTAAGATTTTACCAAAAGAAATGTTAAAAATGCACAGTTTGATTACTTTTTAGGTTTCAAAAGATGAAATTAAGTTTTGACAAATATGAAAATACAATACACCTTTATTTTTGGTGAAAATATGTGTAAATTTTGTCAAACTTTTTGGATAGAATACTCCCTAGTGTGCTGTCATCAATATAGAGCTTTCTTTCAAATAGAACTTTCTACTTTTTAAACTTTTCTTAACAATTTGCTTCTTAATCAGTCTAAAACTATAATTTATATTTACAACACGTATTATCCTAAAAAATTAAGTCAATATTAGAGAATCATCATATGCACTTTAAACAGCAAATTCCACTATAGTATTCTGACCTGTCCTCCAGCTCAGTTTAAACTAAAGGGATTCTACAATGTTGTGAACCCAGCCTATTAAATTCAATTGGGTTTGGTTCACTTAGTGGTATAGCCTTGACTCCACCTTTATTGTATTAACTAAATAAGATTAAGGTTCGTTCCTACAGTCATTGAAACAGGAAATGTCCCAACACTTCATTCACTTTGTGTTATGTCAGTAATGGCTTCCAGCGGCTGTAGAAAGCTTTTAAATGAAAAAGTTTAGCATCAGGTTGTACATTACTGACTAGACAGAGAATGGATGGTGTTTGTACTCTATTTTCACTGATTTTTAGATATTAATATGATTTCCAGTTTAGGGGTTTGGTGCTTTGATATAACTTCCATGAAAGTGAAATTCTACCACAAATTTACACGGTAATTTGGAAGTTTATGGATTAACTTATGCAAGAGCTAGAACTGAATTTAATTTATAATTTTAATTTAATATCATTTTAATTTATCAACTTTATACCAAAATGATCATTACATTGTTATGAGTGACAGTAGCTCAGTTGATAGAGCGTTTGTCCACTGACCCACAGGTTGGCTGGTGTGATTCCAGCTCCCACAGGTGAATGCTGTCGTTGTGTCGTTGGGCAAGACACTTAACCTACATCCCCACCAGTGTCTATGTACACTGGTGTGTGAATGAGCGAGAGCTTTGAGTGCCTTGAAGGTGGAAAGGCGACCATTTACTTTTTAATAATGCCAATGTATTGGAATTGCATGTGAACCTTAACCTAAAATATTGACAATTTAAATTTCTAAAACATTTTATATTTATTTTTTAATCAGGTTGAAGATAGCCACAGATGGGCAGCCTCTCTTTGGTCAATCTGTCCCAGGGCAGCTGTGGCTACAGAGGTAACTTACTTCCAGAAGTGAAGTGAATGAATAATGACTGAATTGTAGAGCTTTGAGAGACAGAAATATTGATACTTTGCAGTGACATCACACTGGGGGTTCTACATGTATCTCTATTGGCAGAATATTCAGTAGTTACCATGGTGACACAATGCACACATTAGCAAACACAGACAAAAATGTTTTACAATACAAAATGAATTAAAAATAATAATTTTCAGGAACCTGTGATACGCGTTCATGGTCCTGTTTAGGAGTTTGCTTTTCAACAAAAAAGCTGAGTGTGACTAACTGAAAAACTACCTAAGCTTGTGACTGTAATTTTACGTGAAAGACTTGTTGCATTTCACCCGTTGTAGTCACAACCAAATCAGATACTGTTAAAATAAAGTTCAGATTAAGTTAATTTGAGTAACAGAGCTTCTAACAGAGCAGTGCTTTCAGTTAGTTTCACACCCCCAGGGAATATTGATGACATCAGCTACAAAGTATCAATAGGGCCTTTTTATTGAAAAAAACGAGGCAGTTACTGATCTTAACCAACCACCACCCCAGTGTCTACATCAGTATATCAACACAATCCTATCTGAAGCATCCACCCAGCTTTAGTACATTTGTCTTTTAGGAGCTGACGAAAACTAAACGAGTGGAGTAGATCATGTCTGCCAAATACAGAATAAAGTTCAGACCCGTGAGCACAGCCACCGCCATCCTTTTATCCCATTCGCAGAGGCCCGTGCGGACATTACATCTGCTCGGACGGTCCTTCGTTCCACCATGTTTGGGGTCGAAGCAGAAAAGCGGCCACACAATTGTCGCGGAGAGGTACAGGAGAACAGCTAGGCAAGCGTAACCAGATAGGAAACGCGCAAATGGAAAGGGAAGGCACCCGGTGAATTCACAAACACACAAAACTATAATACCAGCGGACAGAATGAAACAGATGCAGTAGACAGCCATGCAGTATTTCAGAGCGTCTGCCCTTTCGTACAAAACCGGGTCGCTGATGAAAACAAAAATAATACAGGCGATGAAGGTTTCGCAGACTTTCAGAAGGCCAGGAGCGGTAGCCATGTAGCCAGCGACTTCACCTGGACGCGCCTTGCTAATGCTAACTTCGGTCATGTACGCGATTGTTGCTAAACATGAGAAAACGGTTGAGACAATTCGGTAGTCGCGGATTGTGTTTGATGACGTGTCGCCCTTGAGGTAGAACAGGGGGAAGATGATGGAGGCAGACAGGCAGAGGAGTGCGGCGTAGCAGGCAAAAGTTATTGGAAAGTTCTTCCACGAAACAGGAGCGCGAGATTGGAGACCGAAAAGTTCCACCAACAACACCAGCAGAGTTCCAGCGAAGCTAAAGGCCCAGCAGAAGATGCACCAGTCCCCTGTGCCATGCCTCAGGTCTCCTCCGTGAACTGCAACGGAGAAGGCCACACAGGAGAAGATGAGAGCCGCTAGGCGGGTCCAGAACAGAGGAGTGGACTGCAGGACGATTGGCATGGTGATGAGGAGAAGGTCCAATCGTCTGAAGGAAGATCTGGAAAAAGAGAGAGGGTGGGTTAATTTTATTGACTAATTTTTTGTCATAGATTTTATCAGTACATAGGTTAGTCTATGGGGGTATGACAAAATCCTACAAATCAGGAAGGAATTGTTTGCCTGAAACCCATGAATTAGGCTTTAGACTTTATTGTTCCCAAGGGGAAATTCTTTTTCACAAACACAGAGCTCATTTGACATGTACACAGACAGACAGCAACAACACAGAACAGGAGGGTTCCTGTTAATAGGTGATATTTTTAGAACACTTTTCCATTGCCATTCAAAAGTATTATATACTTTGTTATGAATTAATAAGTTATATGAGTTATAAGTTAATTGCTATGGCAACATCCATCCATCAATTTTTGTTCACTTTATCCAGGGCCAGGTCGCAGAAGCAGCCGTCTGAGTAGGAAGATCCAGACTGGGTCTTTCCAGGACACACACTCAGCTGCTCGTCTCCACATGGAGGAGTATTGGCTCTACTTCGATCCCTGTCTCTAAGGGAGCACCCAGCGACTCTGTAGAGGAAATTCATTTTGACCACAAGTATCTGTGATCTTGTCATTACCCAAAGCTCATGACCATAGGTGAGGGTAGGAACAGAGAGCTAAACCTATACTAAACCTGGACTAAACTAGGACTAAATCAGGACCATAGGTGAGAGTAGATTGAGCGGTAAATGGAAAGCTTTGCCTTTGGACTCAGATCCTTCTTCACTACAACATTTCGATATAGTGACTGGATCACTGCAGACGTTACACCGATCCGCTTGTCAATCTCATGCTCCATCCTCCCCTCAATCAAGAACAAGACCTCGAGACTCTCCACCCACCATCTTTTTCCAGTTGAAAACCTTGGCCTTGGATATTGAGGAGCAAATTTTTTCCTGAATGTTAGTTTCTTAGTTTGTTTCTTAGTTTATTTCTTAGTTTATTTTTTAGTTTTTCTGTGCTGGTACTTACCGAACCTTTTTGATCGGTGCCTACTTGGAACAGTGCTAGATTTTCATCACTCTGAAGTCGATGGATAGGTTGGGTTCACGTTCTAGAATTGTATATCATCATTTCAGATGGAGGGCAAGAGCCTGTGTAACTCTGTGGGAGATTTATTGTGTTTGGAGGAAATATTTAAACAGACAATCTGCATGCAGCCATTCACACAGTCATTTCAGCTGACAACAATCACATCTTCAGAGTTGAACAATGGCACCAGTTTCTGTGAGAAGTCACTTTTGGGTTCATGTTGACAAGCCCAGTAATTACAGACATTAATCATAAATAAACCAGAACAACAAATCTACAATCTGACAGTTACACAGCAAATTACACCACAGAATTTGGTGTCCTTCTTAATTATGAACAACAGAACTTCTAGAATGTGTGAAAAAAGTAATGTCCTTTTAGTTGTAGACCTAATTTAGTCCTGGTTTACAGTACAGGCACAATCCTGGTTTGAACCTGGTTTTATTTAGACCTGCTTTTTAACCTGAACTAGTTTCAGCTTAGTAACATAGTAATTATTATCAACCAACCCCATTATAAAGCACCAGTTCTTGGACAGATCATATTATTTGTATTTACATGTACGATTCTGGCTACTGTCATCCATAAAACTATAATATTTGTAAGTAAATAATAATATGATAAGCCTGTTTGTATGACAGCATGACTTTCCTCTGTCTAGTTCAAAATGTCACCACTAGAAGGCCGCTGCAGCCTCCACCTCTGCCCTGTCCACCCCTACAGCTCATTTACAAAGCCACACAAAGCTGCCATTGTATTTCTATGAATGGTAAAAGCAACAAGCATGAAAACTCAATGTGATTTAAGCATAATGCAGTCTCTGTGGTCACCTCTGTCGCACAACATTAACCTCCACACACACGCGCGCACACACACACACAAACGCATACATACATTCATACATGTTATTTATGGTATTCACAAGGTCTTGTCCTGGTGTTCTGGTTTTAGTCTTGGTTTAGTCCTGACTGGTTAACACTGGGATGTTTCCTGACTTAAAGGTGCATTATGTAACTTTTCTGGTGGTGTGGTTTCTGAAGAAATGTGTGCACTTTCACTGGAATGTTCCACAGTGTGACACTATATATTTCCATGGAGTTAGAACTGAGGACAGGTTTAATGCCATACTGTGTAGCATTCCATGCAAAGCAATAACATTTCCAGGCAGACCAGCATGTAGAAACCCCTCCGCCAGAAAAGTTAAACCTTGAAACTGGTTTAGACCAGACTTAAGTCCAAGCCATGAAGTTAAGCTTTTTTCCAAACCTTTAAATGACAAAATGGTAAAATCCAGAACTGTTTTAGCCCTTATAATGTTTTAGACCTGGTTTAGTCCTGGTTTAGACCTGGTTTAGACCTGGTTTAGTCCTGGTTTAGTCCTGGTTAGTCCTGGTTTAACTGGTTACATTCACAGTATAACATATGTCCCCCTCTACTCCATTTGCTCTGCTCTGTTTGGACATTCTTCGATGATGAAGGTTTAGTCCTTATTTAGTCCTGGTTTAGTCCTAGTTCAGGCCTGGTCTAGACCTAGTTCAGTTCTGGTTTAGACCTAGTTCACTCCTGGTTTGGATCTTATCTGATTAAGAGTTGAGTTTCAGGCGTGGTTCAACTTTTACTCCATACTTTTCTGTGATCGGCCTCAAAACCAGCGACCTCCTCGTTCACTCCCACACAACTACATACCAACTTTATCTGGGAATGTTTATCCATGCAAAACAAAACGAAAAAGGCAATAATTCAGACTTATTAAAAGTGCTCATATTATGCAGTTCTTTAAAATCAATGTTATAATGTTGTTTCCTTATCACAAACAGACCTGCAGTTGTGTTTTTTCATTCACACTTTTAACACACAAACTCTGCACATTTAGGCTGAGATCTTCTCTCAAACTAAAAGCAATCTGTTCCACCTTGTGTGTCATGTGGTAATACAGGAAGTGCTCCACTGTGTTTTTAAACTCCATACTCCTTCACTAGTCATTTGGTTGATTTCAGTCCTAGAATTGCCTATCTCTACTGAACTAAAGCTAAAATAGAAACTGTTAACTTGAAACTTGAAGTGGAACAGAGCATTTTGAGCTTTGCAGATGTAGATAGTCTAGTAATAAAGGATTACTCAAACGTGTGAATGAAACAAAACACAACTCCACATATGGTTGTGCTGAGTTAACAACATTATAACATGGCTTAAAACTCACAAGAGACTTTTAAGAGGGAGTATGGGGTACATTTAGAAAGCAAATTATCCTTTATTAAAAATGTTCTTGGTCCTTTATTAGCCTTGCTTTAGACCTGGTTTGATCCTGATTTGGCTCTAGTTTAGTCCAAGATTAATCCAGATTTAGACCTTTATTTAGTCCTGGTTTGGTTCTGGTTTCTTTCCAGTATAATCCTGATTTAGACCTCATTTTCTCCATGTTTAGACCTTAGTTCTGGTTTGGTTCTGGTTTGGTTCTGAGTTGGTCCTGGTTTAGTCTTGGTTTGGTCCTGGTTTGGTCCTGGTTTAGTCCTGGTTTAGTCCTGGTTTAATCCAAGTGTTGTCCAAGAGTAATCCTGCTTTAAACCTTTTGATTCCCCTGGTTTATTCTTGGTTTAATCCTGGTCTGGTCCTCGTTTAGTCCAAGTTAGGTCCCTTTCCCAGATTTTATTTAACATTGTTTACTGTTGAAAAGTAGCTACGTGACAACTCTGAGTGAACTAATGATGAAAAAACACCATGTAAACACAGTGAAAAGCTCATAAAAGTCAATTACATAATATGGCTAATTTAATAACTCAAAATCACCATAATTGTACCACTAAAATCTAACCTTGGTTCACACTAAGAAGAGACAATTACGCATCTCATTTTCCTTGTTTATGCTCAACAGGTGGGGCAGTAAACTCAAACTTAAGCTCTTTTAAGCCTGAGTTATACGAGTCTGCTATTTAAGGTACAGTAACTTCAAAATGCCAGACAACACAAGAGGAGAGGGACCACACACAGCTCCGAGTGAATTCCTCTGTGATGTAAAGAGCATAAAACTCCAAATATGGTCGTTATTAGGGCTAAGGAAAGATCTCAACCATGCGGCATCTCTAACTAAACATTATTAATTACAGCAGAATTTGTTTTATTGCGAAACTAACATTTCAAACTTGATTTCAAAACTGAGGAGCAGACTCGAAATGCAACAGACACCGATATGATATGATTATAAAAACACACTTTCTTTCGGCAATAGAATGTGGTTTTCAGCATTAAATCATAGTAATTTGTTTTATTATCACCATATGGCCTTACAGATACTTTGCAGCTGATGTCATCAAGAGGCACTGCTCTGTTATGGTCACAATCTGACCATAAAGAGATGACTTAGCTGGAACTACAACAGGTGAGCTGATTTGCGCTGTGCTAGTGTTAGTCACTCTCACCATTTTGTGGAAAATCAAACTAAACCTAAACAGGCCCCTGAACGCTTGTATAGATCACAGGCTCCTGAAAATGTGCTGTTTAAATCCATTTTGTATTTTTTCTTGAGTTCTGAGACAACTGTAAAACTATTTTTACAGCATCTGTGTCTCTGTAGCAGCTACAGAACATTCCACCACCTCGAGCTCCTGATGGAGAGAACAGAACTGGTCCAGTGTTCCTCAACTGGGACAAAACCGACACTGCTCCTCCTGAATCTGAGGTTTGACTTGTCGGTCGGACTCTCTCTATGGGAAATTTATTGTGTTCGGAGGAAATATCACATCTTCAGAGTTGAACAATGGCACCACTTTCTGTGAGAAGTGTCACTTTTGGTTTCATGTGGATAGGCCGAGTAATTACACAGATATTAAGCATAAATAAACGAAAATCAAAATCAAACTCCTAAACAGGACCATGAACGCTTGCATTGATCATAGGCTCCTGAAAATGTGCTATTTAAAACTATTTGGGTTTTTTCTTGAGTTGTGAGACAATTGTAAAACTTTTTGAGCAC